TTTTGGGTGGGTGTGTGTCGTCCTCATGTGTGATGGCTTGACTTGTCTCTGCCACCAGGATTCATCCATAATAACTATTAAACCTCGGCGTGGCTCCTCGAGAACCGGCCGACGGCGGCCCACTCACGCCCCGCCGCCGCTGAAGAAAAGACTTCCCCCTCTTTTACTCCCCCACCTCCCTCTCTCTCTCTCCCACCAGACCAAACAAACACAGAGACATGTCGGGAGGAGTTGTAAAAAGGAAAAAATAAATTAAAAAAAGCCTTAAAAGACAGTGATGTTTGTCGACACACACACATCCTCCTCTCCTTTCTCTTTCTTCTAATCCTCCTACATGTACATACAAAATAACAGAAACACACATACTGTACTCAACACAAACATGACTTCTTCTTTGCGGGATGTAATGACTTGCACACGCTGACAAACAGGAAGAAGACGGATGGACGCTGGCTGGATTGTATTTCTTTTTTTAATGTCTTTCTTTGTGAGCGGCCGGGTTTCTGAGCGCGCTCAGTGACGTTTCTCTGAAAATGGGTTCAGAAGTTTCCCATAAGATTTTGATCGCTGGGGGGGTGATATCAGATAAATGAATGATCTATTCTGTTGTACAGATTAAATAATGTTCCGTATGTATAAAAAGTTGTAGTCGTGACATGTTTTCTAGAGTTGTGTTGCCATTTATTTTGTTCTGTAGTCCTGTCGCAGGCCGCGGTCACACCAGCGGTTTAAAAAACGGCAAATGTTCTCGGTGAAATCGGCTCTTTTCCGCTGGAATCACTTCAAACTAATTTGCGTCGTTGACCGACAACGATACGTCTTTAGAGAGCTGGAGGGTCCAAAATGGAGGCTAGCTAGCGTAGCGTGTTAGCTGTGCGGACAGAGGAACACGTTGACGTTCACAGCTTATTGTCTGTTTATTGTTTAAATCCAGTATTTATGCACAGTTGCAGATAAAGATCAGGCTATACTAATATTAATAGGAGTTTTTAGTGTTTTTAGTTTATTTGCACAATTTTAAATAAATACACAAACATAACAGAGATAAATAATATCAGGAAGAGGCATAAAACCCACTGGACTTATTTAAAGCCTCCACGTGAATAATGTTAAAATCATTATATATAATAAACATTATTAAGGACAACACAAAAGATATGACTACATATTGAACAAAAAACATAATTATCATATCTGTAGAATTAGATTCAAGTGTCCGCTGTGTAGAATTGTTTCTAGAATTGAGTCAAAGTTTATTGAATAAAAGATGTAATCTTTTCAAAATTCACATCTTATCCAACGAAATATTCAGCAATTTAATTGTACATTAAAGCATGAAAGAAAATGAATATAAGAAGAAAAAGTGTTTAATCTGATGAATCTCTTTATTTACATGAAGTATTTCGTTCAAGGCTTTATTTAGATTTATTTTAGTGATGACATAAAATATGACGACAGACATTCAAACTTTCTTTCAAAAACCTCAATAATAGCTTTGAATGTTAACGGCTTCATAAACTCTTCTGGAAGTAAACAGCTGAGAACAGAGAAAATAGAAAGAAGCTCAGCGACATCGTGACTGAATGACGCCAACATGGCTAGCATGTTAGCGGTTAACGTGTTAGCGGTTAACGTGTTAGCGGTTAGCTCACCAGCTCCTAAACATAGTTCACATTTAGCCGTTCCACTTCCTGGTGTGACCCGGCCTCATCCTATGAAATGTCTCCTCTTTTCCTTTCGCACTTTTGACAAGTGAGTCAGATTCTGGGTTGTTACACAAAAATGTCTTTTTTTAATTTATTTATTATAATTTCTACAATATTGAACTGCTGTGTATATTTTTGTACTTTATTGTATTTTTGTCATTTCTTTTGTTATTAATTTATTCTGTTATTTATACGAACGATGTAGAGAATGTCTCAAATTATTTAAGGATATTTTTGTCACGTTTAAGTTATTTGAACGCTGAGAAGAAACAAGAATTTAGTGTTTCCGTCCTGTTTTCCCCCCGAGAGAGAAACCTGTAAAATACGTTTGGGAAGATGATTTACCGTAATATAAGAATGTAGACGTAGCCTCTCAGAGAGGCCCCCCCCCCCCCCCATCATGTGTGTCTGAAGACTCACCAAACGCTCATTCTGTAAATAAGCCGAGTTTACTGACACGCTTATTTAAAAAACAAGGATTCCTTCTCTTAGCTTTGACCTTGTACGGTTGTTTGCATGTTCAGCATTCGTCTTTTCTTTGCATGTCGTCGTTGGAATTGTTCTCCTGTTCCCCTTTTTCTCTCCACACTTATGTTCTTTATGTGCATTTGTTTGAATTTGCCTTTTATTTATTCTTTTTTACATGAATATATTTTTGTTCCTTTTTGATTACTGTGTACACAAACAGTAACCGTGCAACGCATCCTCACTCATTCTCTCAAAGAGGGAGAGACAAATTTAAAAGCAATACCTTTTCATTGTTCGCTTTCCCTCTTTTTTCTACTGGGGGAATCCGGAGCACACAGAACAGAGCGCTACCACTGAGCAGGAAAAAACCCACCGGCAATGTTTCCCCTTGTAATGTTACTGTGAACAACTTCAGTGCTAAAAGGAAATAAATCTGTTTGACTTTGGAGCCGCGTGTCAACACGTTTATTCACAGAGATATCTACATATTTTACATCAGCGACAATTTACAAAACAATAAAACTGTTGTTTGACCGCCATCACTCAGACGTTTGTTAAATACTGGTCTCTAGAGCGGTGCTGACACAAGTTAAATTACAAACGTTCATATTTCACAGTAATAATTAATAAAAAAAAACAGATTATCACAAAATGAAATTACCACTTTTACACATTTGTGCCGTCACATCTAACATAAGCCAAATGTGACGTCTTCAAGTGTCTTAATTTGTTCGACCAACAGTCAAAAGAAACATAAAAACATTTAATTTACAGCGACAGGAAACAGAAAACTCTCAAAGTGAAACAATCGTCTTGATGAACGACTTAAGAACAATCATTTTTCTATATAATTGATTTGAATCATCATCCAGAAACGTTCACTTGCGTCAAGATAATTAAAAAGGAGGAATAACTTGTTTAAATAGTTCTTCTTCTACACTATAGAGGAAGAAACAGTTTGTTCTTCTTCTA